TTTGTTTTTCACAATGGTTAGTGATAGATTGTCGCAATTATTTTAGACAAGTTCGGTGGGATACACATAAAATATGGAAGAGTATCTAAAATTTATGGTTCTAAACCATGTGCATATGTTCCTGAGCATGTGCAATTGCTTGCATGTCTGTTGGCACCTAACAAGCAACTATTTTGTTTTCACTATTGGGTTTGCCCCAAACAACTACTACGCGGTTCAGTCCTCTTCGTCTTATTGTATGATAAAATGAGTAAAATTATCAGCTTTTGCTTTGTTGCAAATCCTAGTTGGAAAACAAAGGAGGCTTTGTTTGGTACAGGAGAATGATCTTAGGAAAAGGTTCCAGAATCAGTTCACGGATTAAGCATACGTGAAAAGTTGTGAGAAAAGGCGGCTTTATCTATGCTTAAAATATGTTTGCATTCTAAGATCATGTGGATACTAAAAGCTGTGTGAACACTGAACAGAATGTGAAAACACAAACAAACATTAAAAAGGTACTGCTGAGGGAAGCTTTTTCTTAATTCTTATTTATATGTTACTAGGTCCCAGTTGGTGAACAGACATAAAAAATGCTATGGTTACTGTACCTTTTTTTGACGAATGTCACGAGTGTTCATCTTTCTGTATCTGTAATTTCTATTTTTACTCTTCTTTCTGATCTTGTGGAGCAAGGTTGATTTGTTAAATAGATACTCTGTTTTCTTTTAATGAAAAAGAAGTACTTCATATTGGTTATGGTAATTCGGTTGTTTAGTACTCAGGAGAGATGAATCAACTCAAAAATTTCTTTTTTTTTTTTTTAATCGTAAGATTAAATGTGTTGAATGGTTGTTTAGAGTCGCGTAAACTTGTTTGTGATGATAATTCTATATTTGAGATTGAATCAAGTGTGAATTCAACGGTAGCCGTAATTTTATTTATTTTCTACAACTTAAAATTCATCATCTTGAGAAAGATACAATGCTCCTTAGTTGACTTGGTGTATATAAACTTCTCAATTGGATCTCTATTAGAATGGATATTAAGTTATATCATTGATAAATTTTTTTAATTAATTTATCGATGACAATTTAATAGTTAAAAATTAAAGTTATAATAATTATTTTTACGTCAATTCATCTCAATTATAAAATTTAAGATAACCCAACCTCAACCAAATTAGATTTATATAACCATAAAATTCAATAACGTTATCAAATTGACCATTATGAATAATATCTTATAGTTACTCTCTATATGACCCATCTTCTTTTATCATACTTTTAATCTTTATTTTAAACCAAGGATATGGTTTGTTTGGTGAGTAATATTACGCCTACAACCTAATCTCATAATCTTCACTTACAATCCCAACGTGACAACTAAGTTGGCAACTGTCACGTTAGCTCTTATCACACCTAAGATACTAAATAACTTTGATTAAACACGAACTGTTGTTTTTTAGGAATAAACGACCGTTTTTTCATAAAGAGTGATTGTTCCTTAAGAAAGAACATTTATTTATTATGAATGGAACATTTATTCTTTATAAATTAACTATCATTCGTTCTTAAGGAACGATCGTTCGTCTCTAAGGAACGGTCGTTTATGTTTAGTCAAAGTTGTCAGTTGATATGGTAGTATTAACTCTATTGATACATTAAAATTATAAGAGAAGATTGTGGGATTGAGTTAGAAACGTAGTATTTTTGTTGTTTAGCAAATACATGGGAGACACTTTGAGCTTTCTTAAAGAAGAGAAAAGCAGGGTGTCCACTCATTATGGGCTTAAATTTGTGCCTACATTCTCCATTCTATATTTAAGCCCACTGGGCCACACTCGTAAACTAACTTTTTTGAAATTTTGGTTAGAGAGGTAGGAATTATTTAAGGAACTAGCAACTTTTTGATATGGTAATCCATATCTTTTTAGGGAGGCATTAATTATCTCAAATTGTTTTAATATTTCAATTTTGTTTAAAAGAAAATGCTAAATTTGAATATCATGTATCAGTTATTTTTTGGCAGAGATAAATTTTACTTTTTCATGTAGCCTAGAATTATGGTAAAATATTTTGTGACTAAAGTGTTTAAATTAATTTGTGCGTACTTCAAATAATCTTAAGACCACTTTAGATCGGAGACTAGATGTAAAACTTCCTAAATTAACTATTGAGTACTGCCATCAAACCATGAGTTTGAAAAAGTTAATGAAAACCCTTCTTTACAGAGGTTCAAATTTATCTTAATTATGATAAATGGAGTATATAGAAAAATTAAGATAAAATGTGTCATTCAAATGATAGACTGAAAAATCAATTCAATCCATCAATTTGGTGGTTGTCAGTTTGGAAAATAAAGTCAGACATTTTTAAGTCTACCCTCACCAACTAGTCATTTTCTTTATAAATTTCAGTGAAAGTCTACTAACATGAATACGTGAACGTAAAAGTTTTCCAAGTCTTTCATATTACTGTCTGTACAGGTTTTATTTTTCTTTCTCTCCGGTCTGCCAAAACTGCTAGTCAACTTTGCTAATTTCTGGACTTTCATAACCAGTAGTTGGGCGGCCAAGTAATAACTCACATTAAATATTTTGTTAAACGGACCCAAGAGTTTTGACTTTTAACAACATCGGAATTGTTTACACGACCTTTAATCAGAATTCTCTTTTGTCAGATTTTGTACGATAAATTACTAAAATTAATTAGGGGAAAATTGTACAAAATTGAGAATAATTAAAAATAATACTACACATACGTTATTTTCATACGATATTTTTCATACAATATTATATAGTAAGATATGGTTGGATAAAAGTTTAATTTTAACTTTAAATTAGCTAATCATATCTTGTCACATAACATTGTATAGGAAATATTATATAAAAATGATATATATGTAGTATTATTCAATAATTAATATAAAGTTACAGCAAGATGAATGTAAGCAGAACCAGTTACAAACCAAAAAGTTTATATACAGTGTTATGCCTCAAAAATCACATTGATGTCAGTTTAACAAGTGCCTAAAAGATAAAGTATATTAGATGTCAAACTCATATCGTCTCAGAGATATTTTATACCAATCGTATCTCACTTTAAGAGATAGAAGAATGAAAACTCTTCATGTGTTAAGACAACTTACAAAACACTCGTTACATTGACCTCAAAGGTGTATAAAAAGACACCCATCTTCACAAAAAGAGAAGACTGGCGTGGCTAGATCGCAGATCGCACTCTCAGATTGCGTGGCCAGATCACAGATCGCACGCTCAAATCATCCAGATCGCGTGTTCAAGATCGTTGAGATCACGCGTTTAGATAATTTAGATCGCGCTTCCGAGCGCTTAGATCGCTGATCTCAAGTTCTCAAATCAAGCTTCGCGCTTTTTGACTGAACTCCTTCTATTCTCATATCAAGCTTCGCGCTTTCTAATTGAACTCCTTCTGTTCTCAGATCAAGCTTTGCACTTTCTGATCAAACTTCTTATGCTCTATGATCGAGCTCTTTATGATCTCAGATCGAGCTCCTCTTAGATTGCGATCAGCTCCTAGCTCTCAAATCTCGATCAACTCATAGCTCTGATATTGTGAACAACCTCAAGTTGTGTTCTCAGCTCTCAGATCGCGATCAGTTCTCAATTCTCAGATCATCTGCCAGCGTCAGAAAAAACATGTAGAAAACTCAAAAAAGCCTCGAAACATGCTTAAACGATGGATTTTGGCCCCTAAAATGGCCCCAACTAGGTTTCCTAATTGCCAAGACGTAAAGCTCGGAACAAGCTTTCTGTGGATATCTTACGGGCTCCAAAACTCCTCCTGGATCAAAAGTTATGGCTGTTTTAAGTTGGTTTATCCGTTTAAGGCCTTTAAGCCGTGCGTTTGGGCTTCTGATGTTAGCTTCCTCCAAGAATTCATCTAATGGACATTTCATGTCAGTTATCAGATCATGCTCAACTTCAGATCGCTCCAAGCTCTTAGATCGCAGTCCCAACTCTTAGCACCCGATTGTTCTAGGCATAGTTCGAGCTCTTCAGTTCGAAACTGCAGCCCATAGTGCGACAACCGTTCAGATCTAAGACCTGAGTTTTTGAAGCGCAACTACGCACTCCAAAAACTGGAGGGGTTTTGTTATGCCTAAAAAATCACCCTAATGTCAACTCAACAAGTGCCTAAAAGACAAAGTGTACTAACTATCAAACTCATACCGCCTCAGAGATATTTTATACCAACCCTATCTTATTTTAAGAGTTGGATGGATGAGAACTCTCTATGTGTCAAGGCAACTTGCAAAACACTCATTACATTTACCTCAAAGGTGTATAAAAAGACATTTCTCTTCACAAAAAGAGGAGGCTGGATAGATGAGAGCTAGATATAGATTTGAACTTTATTATCTTTCTCTGTAAACAAAGTTTTTCTCCATCTTTGTATGCCTTACGGACAATATCATAGAAATAACAAGAGAATAGCAAAATAACAGTGGATGTAGGATTCACTTTAAGCATCCGAACCACTTTAAAAACCTCTCTTGCTAATCTTTTATTTATGTTTTCTGCAAGAGCAATGCTAGTTTTACAAAGACAAATAAAAAATGGGCATACAAAGACAATTCTCACCCTTGATTTTCATGATTTTTTTTCTCTCTCTCTCTTTCCGTTTTTTCTTTGTTTTTTTCTTCTTGCTGATGTCACTTTGTAGCCCTCTTTGTATGAGTCTTTGTAAGGATAACATTTTTCTTTCTGCAAACATATATAATTTCAGCACTATATTCAAATTTCATGAATCCATCAAATGTAATTCCTAAAACTCTCTTAGCACTTTGTACGTGTGAGTCGTTGGTGTTAAAATCAAGCATTAATATATAGGGTGTCCAGAAGGACCAGAACTATGAAAATTAGGTTTTGACTTCTGAGTTTTGAGTAACGTATGTTGAAATTATGAGTTTGAAAGATGATAAAAACAGGCTGTATCCGTTTAGTTATTTCTGTATAATTAAATTTTATTTCATACCATTTAATTACATCTCATGAAGAAGGAAGAAACATAAAAAAGTTATGTATGTAATGCTTTCGTAAGGAAAATTGGATTCACAAGCTACAAGTTATAACAAAGCTTCCCGTTTCAGAAACATTACGATAATCAGTTTATACTATACGTACATCAAGTGGCACTATACAAAGTTCTAATTAAACCTGAATTTGTGTAGACCTGCGTGCTGAGATGATAGTGAGAATCATCATGACAAGGAAAGATAAGTAAGAGAGAATGAGAGAAAGTGTAATTCTGTCACAAAATTTGCCGAAATTATCACAAATGGCCACCCAACCGATGTGGTTGTTGCCATACCGGCCAATATATCCTACGGCTGTTGCTGCAGCAGATGCAGAAATCAACAAGCTCATCATCACCTGCAACATTCAAATTCAAAACCCCTCAAAGTTAAACAAAAGGGACTTGGTAGAAGTTTCTGAAAATGAAAATTTGAAAAACAGTAGATGATGATTTTGGGTTTCTTTAGTTAAAAATGATGATGGACTCAAATATTTTCAAATACTCACTAGCAAGCATCCTTTCTTTTTTATTGTTTTTGGATATCCGAAACTGATTTTAAAAATCATAATACGAACAGTTGAAGAATTAAAGCTAGACATACCAAATCGTGAATGAACAAGAAGAAATATTTGGTAGGGCTTGAGCCTTGTCGACCGAGGACGAAAACGTAGAACAACGAAAGTATTAAACAGCCACATGCCACAGCATTTCCAAAAACAAAAAACCTGAAAAGAAAAAAAGAAAAGATTAGTAACTTTCAAGTGAAACAAAAAGGCCTGTAAAAATTATTGTATTTTTTCATCTTACTTGAAAGCCGGAGAATAGCTATATCGAGCGTCAAATGGGGTGCCAAAAACCACAACAGATTGCTTTGCAGTGACCATCACAGATGTTGCAGCCAATGCAGTACCAATGGCCAAAAGCCTCAAGAAAATTTGTGCAAGATGAAAAATTCTTTGCGTTTTCAGAGGAGGGCTCTGTTGAAACTTGGCTTCAGACTTGTCCATTCTGAGAGGTTTGAAACTCGAAAGTAAACAAGACTGCTGTAGACAGAGCACTGGAACAGAGGAAATAGGCTAGTATAGTATGGAAGCTACAAGCAAGAGTTATGAATGGGGGGAAAGAGTGAATTTACGGTGAGTATTTATAGAGCATAAGACTGAGGAATCTTTCAAGGCCTTCTCAAGCGCCATAATATGTGGGTCCTTAAATCTTTTAATCATGATCACATATCAGAAATCTCTTGGACTTTTATCTAGTATGCCATTTTTGGTTGAGATGTTATAAGCCGTTTGATTGTTTGACTGTTGGAAATAGGCTAATTACTCGGGTTGGACTAGGACTAAGTTAATAGTACGTGCATGATTTTTTTGTGAAGTATTTTAGTTTATTACCAATATTTACAGGAGAAAGCAAAAGCAAAAGTAAGTTGATTCTTCTTGGAAAAGATCAGATTGAATTGAATTCAGTAGTAATTAGAATTGCATGCTTTTGAATCGTACAAACTTACTGATAAAAGTGAAATAAATTTCTTAATTGTGTATAAACTTTCTTGTCAGGATAAAGTATTTGTTGCACAGGAGGTATGGGATAATGTTTAGATTACATGAATGATTCCCTTATGCATGGCAGTAAGATAATTAAACAAGTTAAGGATTGTAGTTTAAATTAGGGGTGGGGCCGAGCCGCTGGTGACTCACGAGCGGCATGAGCTCGTGAGGTAAAAGTTCAGGCTCAACTTGAGTTTTGTCGAGTGTCGAGCCAAGTTCGAGCTCGCTAGATTTCGGTTCGACAAGCTTGATTGGGAAAGTGGAAAAAACAAAAAATTAGAGTTTTTTTTTTTTTTCTTTTTTTTTTTTTTTTTGTGAGCTCGAGCTCAAGCTCGTCAAACTCAAGCTTGATACTGTAGTAAACAGGCTGAGCTCGATTAATCCAAAGCCTGGTTTAGCTCGACTTATTTATATCCCTCGTTTAAACAGGATTCTTAAAATCTATGAGTAAATGAGTCAGTTTTTTAACACAAAAGTGAATACAAAATTTCAGTTGAATGGATCAGTGCTATACCTAACATTTAATTAATACAATTAATTTGATTTAATTAAACATTGGATTTACTGTGAAGAATCATCAAATGATCAAATCAGTCCAAATTAGCATTAAATTTCTTCAGTGTGTATTTGTTTCCTTGTCAATTGTCGGTCAGTTAGTCATTACAGTAGCCGATTATTTCTACAGTAAATGTATAAAGCAATAGTGATAATAAGTAGATTTAATCACCTAAATGCCCTAAGATAAGATGATATTCTTCAATAAACACGACTCTTTAGATTATTTGATATTGTTCATGGACGTGATCGCATCCAGTCATGAAAATTTGGAAACACAAGATCCTGCTGACAAAAGACGTCTTCTCTTGCAAGCTTGTTTTTTCTGATTGGTGTGATACGCAATCATTCAAGAGAAAGGAGGCTGACACGGCACGTTTTTAAATCATGCACAAACATCTGGTTTAAGCAATCTGCGTAGTGAAACTTTTGAGCCCAATTTTTTTTGGCTTTTATATATAATCCTAAACGTTGGAATTCTTATATGAATCTCTATTGTTTATAAGGATTGGTTTATTTGAAAAAAGAAACAGCATCACCAACTCATTTCAGACACTTCTTACAAAGCTTTTAAATGTAGTTTCTTCAGAATTCCTGGAAAAGTTGGTGGGTCAGCCACCATTGTGTATAGTATGATATGGATTGTGCTTTCACTTTGAATCACGGGTTTTCTTTCCTTTATTTGTTTTTGCAAGAAGATTAAAACTGGGTTGCTTCTAATTCTAACTAGTTGAATTCATAGAGTCAATTGCCATTTCTCTCAACTTAGTGGTTCTCTAACCATATTGTTGGCTTTACTTGATTTAACTGCCATGTATTTCTATTCGAACTACCTATACGTACGTGTGTTGATCGCAACTAACATCATCATGTTGAATTTGTTCATCTTACAGATGAAAGGTTAGTAATTAATTTAAGTTTTTGAGGCAAGTAATTGCAATTATGGTAATATGTAGTACTTAAGAAATTATTAGGTTTGAGTTTCCTTTTGAAGATCCACTGCATTTCAGGGAAGTATATAAACTTTTTTCAATGAGAAGCAAGCAAAGAACTAATTAATGGACCTCTGCCTTGTACAGATAGAAAACAAGTAGGACCTAGCAAATGCAGATTGCAGAGATGGGGCAAATTTCAGCCATACTTGCAAACTATGGAGCTAATTACAACCACCACTGGCCAACCACTTTGACATGGAGAGAAGTCTGCTAATAATTCCTTTTGAAAATGAGTGGCAATCCAAACGATAGCACTATTAAATGATACCTAATAATTCAGTTCATCTCTCAAAAAGTCTTTAAACCTACTTCACTCAATACCAAATATCGAGATTAATTGTCACTACGTTATTTGCCAAGGTGATGAGTTCAACATGCATGTTAATTTCGTAGACAGAACAATGAAACATTAATAAGGATGCTTTTCGTTTTAGTATGCTCTATCGACCGATCATGTAAAATATTCAGGATGTTTTATTGTTTTTATGCTTTTAACTATTAAGTTACATCATTCCTGGCCATTGTTTTAAAATGAAATTTAATTTACATGCGAAAAAATTGATAACATCTGATAATTTATCACTCATTCATAAATAATTAAAATGGAAAATCCCAATTCATTATTTCGACAACAATTTGCTCCTTTAATTCTTCTTTTAGCTGCGCGAATAAATCAAACAAAGGATGTCCATTAATTTTTATCTGGTATTCTTTTAATTATGTTAGGGAGAACACTTGTTCACCCCCAAGGTTTGGTTAACGACACTTTTCCACCTGTCAAGTTCAAAATGACATTTTCCACACCCTCTGTCAGATTCTGTTGGTGTTTTCTGTTAATATTTGACTGAAAAGACAAAAATATCTCAAATATTTGACTTTATAATTTTTTTTTTGTCATATCAATAGAGTCAATTACCAAAATACCCACCTCTTAAATATGAAATTACTAGTATGCCCTCAACTTATATGAAATTAAATTACCAATTGTCCTTGTTTTTAATTAAAAATAATGTTTCAAATGTATGAAGTTACCGTGGATTTTTTGAAATTTAAAACCTATAGAATTACCATTTTGTCCTTATAGCTTTGCAACTAGAGGTGGAAAAGCGGCCCGGCCGACCCGACCCCGGTGGGTTGCGCAAAGTGGCGGGTCGGTCCTGACCCGCCCAGCAACATTGGCAGGCCAGGTTAGGCCGCCAATGTTGGGGAATTGGCTGGCCCACACGGACCGCCAACCCTAACCCACCGGTTAGGCCATGTTGGGCCGGTAACCCTCTTTTGATTTTTTTTTTTTTAATTTTGTTTTGTTTTATTTTTTTTAAGTTTAAATGTTATTATTAACTTTTTCAAATGAATAATTAACAATTTATAAATGTAAAATGTAATGTTTTTAGTTAAGTGTTAATTTCTTTTCAAATATCAAAAATTAAATTAAATTAAATTTTTTTTGTTAACATTCCAAATATTAATTCAATTTTAATACATTAAAATTGTAATATAAGAATAATTAAATTTATTTATTTATTAAAAAATAAAATAAGAAATTACAATAATTATTGTCTCATTAAAAACCTCACCAAGAAAAACTCAATAGGACAAAAACTTGGTAAGGAAAAAAGAGTGCAATAATTGACAATTAATTTACAAGTTACAATTTACAAAACAACTAATTTTGGAGTTCATTAGGACCTCCCTCATCCGTATCATCTATATTACAAAATTGAAATGATTCTATTAAAGTATCGTCGACAACCTCGTATTGACCTTGATGGCGCAACCGTTCCTAATCTCGAAGACATGTGAGGATTTCAATCATTTGTGGTGACAGTTTAGTCCTCCTTTCATTTAAAATTCTTTCACTTGCACTAAATGTTTGTTCGAATGAGACGGTTGAGACAGGAACAGCGAAAACATCCAAGGCAAGTCTTGATAATACTGGAAAAATACATTTTCTGGCTCTCCAATAGTCTAAGAGATCAATGTTGGCTCTTTGTTGTGGATCTACTGGTAACATTTCAAGAGTTGTCAAATATTGTTGAAGCTCATTACTCTGCGACTGTATGGAAGACAGTACATTAGTTGTTGTTGTTGTTGTTGTTGGTGGAGCTTCTGAAGAGGAGGTTGTGCTTCGGATTCGGGTCCTCTTCGGCCTATTCAGTGCACCCCAGAAGTCTTCATTTGTTTCTTCTGATGCAGCTTCTCTGGATGTTTCGTCTCTTTGTGGGTTCCCATACCTATTTTCATACTGGAAATATACTTCGAAAAGTGTATTTTTTACCTCTCCTATTTGATTGGCATATACTTCAGTTTGTAAATTTTCAAATAAATTGTCAAAACTATTTTCTAAACCTGCTAATTTAATTATAGGATCAAATATAGCACTTAAACAATAAAGAAAATGAATGGGTTCCCAATATTTTTTTAAAAAAAAAATTCATTGCCTTTATTGGTGGATTTAAAATTACATTGTCTTTGTTTTTTATAAATAACTCGGAAATTTTTATAATTGCACATATTACCAATGGACTAGTAGGATAATATACAACAGAAAGTTGTAAAGTTGATTGGTAAAAAGTTTTAAGAAAATAATGAAATACTTTAGCTATTTGCCAATCATTTTCTACCAAATAATGAAGACCTCTATTATTTGTTACAAAATAACTAATTATATTAGCATAAGGTAAACATAAATCAAGTATTAAATAAGTATTATTCCATCTAACAGGCATGTCTAATGTAAAAGTTCTAGGAGACATATTTGATTTTATACAAGTGTCTTGAAATTTAGCATTTCTTTTATTACTACTAATAATCCAAGCTAAACAATCTCTAATTCTATTAATATTTTTTTTAATTGTTTTCATACCACTTTTCACAATTAAATTAATAACATGGCATGCACAACGTTAGTGAAAAAACTTCAAATTGTTATATAAAGG